GGTTTAATTTTATATCACCTCAGGAGTTGCTGACAATTATTGACACCTTTCAGTGTGTTCTTTGCCTTGAAGATAAAACTAGCAAAACTCACTCACTGCAGGTGACTCCGCCTTCATTTCCACCCTACTAACAATGAGAAATCAAATTGTTTTCTAATTAATTGCATGTTTGATTCCGCAAGAGCTCTCTGATAAGAGCCGCCCGGATGCCGCCGCCTCTGTGGCCGTGCACGCTGGCAGAGGGGCGGATGCCAAGCGCAGGACGGAAGTTAGCGGTCCGGCCGGATCCGTCCTCCATTCCTCTTGCGCAGGCCCCTGTGTACTGTCATGCTCTTGTTTCCATTTCCTTTGTACGTTCTTAGGCAGCACTAAATAACAGTAGGAGAGTTTCTTGTGATTTACTGCCTTGCCTCCCCAAAGAAGAGCCTTTGTGAGCTTATCAGTGACAGGCACACTCTGTCCCACGGTCCACCTTTCGCCCAACAGAGAGACAGTGTCACCATCTCCACAAATGGATTCATCCCCATGGAGGAGAATAGGTAGAGGAGAGCACACACACACACACACATACACACACACACACACACACACACACACACACACTTCTTCTGTTGTTATTAGTTTAAAGCAACACAGCTTACAGCATAAACCTGACAGCAACGCTGAGAGGAAGTGCGCAGGGCGCCGGCCTAGGACACAGTGGGGCAGCTCCTCGAGCGGGGCGGGAAGGATGCTCACTGGCTGCTGTGTCAACAAGAGGTGCCCTGGGGCCCGAGTCCCTCCCTGCGCCCTCTGCCACCATGGTGGGGCAGGCCGGGCCTCCCGCCGCACCCCGTGACAGCACATGAGATTGTGCTTGCTTGCCCAAGGAGGAGTTGGACCACAGAACCACTTATTTGTAACTCTATGGTTTATAAGCTGAGTCAAGCATTTTTTCAACTATAGAAGAGAGATAAATAATCCCCCAAAACTTTTAAACTACTACTCTCAGTAATTGGCATGTTCTGATCAACATACAGAGTAGTTTCTGGATACTGAAGAAATATGCTGGTTCTAGAAATACAAAAAGTAAGAAAGCCCACGGATTGGGAGAAGATCTTTACTAGCCATACAACGGACAAGGGTCTCATATCTAAAATATACTTGGAACTCAAAAAATTAAACCCCCCAACAACAAATCCTCAAAGAAACAACTGCCCAATAAATAAGTGGGCGAAAGACTTAAAGAGAAACTTCTCTGAAGAAGAAAGAAGGATGGTCAATAGACACATGAAGAAATGTTCAACATCCCTAGCCATAAAAGAAATGCAAATCAAAACAACATTGAGATATCACCTCACTCCAGTTAGAACGGCAAAAATCAAGAACTCTAACAACAACAGATGCTGGAGGGGATGTGGACAGAAAGGAACCTTACTTCATTGTTGGTGGGAATGTAAACTTGTTCAACCACTTTGGAAAGCAGTATGGAGGTTCCTCAAAAGACTCCACATAGAGCTCCCCTATGACCCAGCAATCCCACTTTTGGGCATTTACCCTAATGTTTACAAACAAGACTACACTAAAGCTACCAGCACAACTATGTTTATTGCAGCATTATTTACCATAGCTAAGATATGGAACCAACCCAGATGCCCCTCAGTAGATGAATGGATCAAGAAAATGTGGTATATATACACAATGGAATTCTATGCCTCCATCAGAAAGAATGACATTGCCCCATTTGTTAGGAAATGGAAAAACTTGGAAAAAATTATATTAAGTGAAGTAAGCCAGGCCCAAAGAAACGTAGGTCCCATGGTTTCCCTTATTTGTAATATCTAGTATATGTATGAGTCAAGCGGAAAAGGTCAGATAATGTGATGTCAGGAAAATGAACCCTTGGATGTGTATTTTAATGTTTTTTTCTTTCATGCATGTGTTTCTAACACATTTATAAGATTATCTCTTTGTTGCTTTGTACGTCCCTCCCCCACAGTATAACCCTTGCTTTCACTATATTTGATGTCAGTATAACTTGTGGAGGAGATGGGGAAAAACCAATCGTTTAAGGATACAGGTGGACCTGTTGCAACAATGAGAAGTACAAGTTGTCATGTCCAAAACGAACTTTACAACGTTGGTGCAGGGGGGGGGGGGGCTGGGGGGGGAAGGAGAAGGATTGGGATTAGGGGGGAGGGGGGAGGCTGGGAAGGGATGTGAAGGGTAAACAAAGGAGGAGGCTGCAATGCTTGGTAAGAAATGTACACATTATCCTGCCCATGTAACTGTAACTCCTCTGTACAGTATGTTCACAAATAAAATTAAATTAAATTAAAAAAAAAAAGAAATACAAAAAGTATGTTTACAAAACTTTCCTACCAAATGAGAGTGTGCTAACGAGCTATTTTAAGCTACTTCCTACCCTATTCTAGCACCCTAAACACTACTGGTACATGATTTATTTCAGAGGTGTTATTTCCTGACTCTGCACCCCAGCATGCCATGGAGTTGACTGTATTTCCACTTCTGGGACTAACACAGGGGTTGCTGCCCACTGGGCCTGACGTTTTCAACACTGCTCCCTTCCCCGAGTGTGTCCTTCCTTCTTGGATCTACTGTGTGGTCCGCTGTGATTGCTCTACTTCCTGCTTCAGTCATTTCTCCAAACCATGGTTTAAGTAGAAATTGATATTAAAACAAGATCTTGATTCTTTTCTAGTTTCTAAGTCTTCTCAGTTAACAGAGAGAGGCTAAATGGATAGTTTATGGCAGGCCACTAAATTGACATAAAGCATTGTATGGCTCATACTAGAGACAGAAAAAATTCACGGTGTTGTCTTTTCTAAAACGCAAGCCTAAAATGTCTGTTTTATTTATCTCATCTCCCAAGTCTACCTCCATCTCTATCAGGTAGTTTATGAGTCAAACAGGGAAGGACACTGAAAAGGTGGAAGATGAATAGATCAGGAGAGAAGTTGGTTGCACTGCACAGGAAAGAAAGATTGTAAGGCAGAATAAAACATCTGGAGACTCCCTTTTGTTTACAACCAAGATACTGATGAATCACAATTTTCATTTAACTTTGGTATCTTTGAACTTATATACATCTTCAAGTAGTCACGAATATGTCTATCAAAATGATAGAGTATTATCCCACTTTTCCTGTCTCTAATTAAACTTGATTTTTCTATAAACAATGTGTCAATTTATAATAGTAATGATAAATGAATCATTATTGATTTTGTTGCTGTGCAATTACTTAAGTGATGGTATTGCAACAAGAGCTTTTTTTATTGCTTTCAAACACATTCAGATGCGTTCATTCATGTTCAGACATGCCTCAACACATGAACCTTAGGACTAACAGTGAATTTATCCACGCACATAGAAAAATTGGTGCAGATTTCAGAGAAGGCTTTGGAACAAAATCTGCTTGCTGGGGATTATAGTGCAGTGATGATTAGAGGTATTATTAATGCTGAATATCACTTTGTAATGTATAGAAGAACCACCCATCATACACAATTATCATGCTTAATACACTGGAGACTCCTCCTCAAAAGGAAACAATCCAGGAAGACTAAAGAGAAACTTTCATGTAATTATAAGAATAAAGATAGTTCAAATAATTCTGCTCAATGTTTTTGGACAATCTTTAGTTTTCTTATATACATGGATCTACATGTATATATGTGTGTATGTGTTTATATGTATGTATATTTTACTAATAATATAGGAGATGATTAGTGAGGATGATGTGTTTAGTTCTTTAAAACAAAGGTATTTAGAATAGTCAATTAAATATTTTTATTACATAGTAATACAGCCTGGTATACATGGTAAGGGTATTTGTGGCCGCAGGTAAAAACATACTTTATATATTTATATTGCTGCATACTCCATATCATATACATTTTCATACATGTATATGATATGAATTTTGTACATATATGAAAATATATGCTGTGTATTTATCTGTATGCACTATTTGTATAAAACACTGAACCACTACATATATCTAGAAGTAAATACTTACTGTGCTAAAAAGCTGTGAGTAGTATAGTTAAAATACATTTAGAAATAAAAGAAACCATTTAATCTAAAACTAGCAAGAGAATCTTTTGGTTTGTTTGTGCCATTCCTGGGACTTGAACTCAGGGCCTGAGCTTTTTGCTCAAGGCTAACACTTTACCACTTGAGACACAGCTCTATTTCTGGATTTGTTCTAGTTAATTGGAGGTAAGAGTCTCATAGATTTTCTGCCTGGGCTGGAATCGAACTGCTATACTGAGATCTCAGCTGGTGGCCTGAGCTATCAGTGTCTAGCACTTCAGAAAAGCAACTGAAATTTACTTACAATATAGGCATGGAGTTATGTCTAATTAAGCTGTAATTACTTTGCACATGACATTTAAATAATGACAAACCTCAACATAATCTTAAATCAAAACAAATAAACAAACATAACTGAATCTTTTTTTTACAGGTTTGCTTCTCCAGAAGAACATGAAGAACTTTTGCAGAATAAAAGGTCTCCTTGGATCTAGATATGAAACACTGAACCTGATCTAAACAGACAAGTGGAAGCCACTGCAGCAAGCCAACAAGCAGGAGGAGATTTCCTCGCAGATGTCTTTTTGTCACGCGTCACACACTGTCTTAAACCATGTGCACATTCGCACACATAGGTGTGCAATAAGGGCAGCGTGGTTGTTTCTATGTGGTAAAACGTAGCACTGGAATGAGATACTTTCTTAATTACTTGTTACAAATTTTATCTAGATAGATAGGTAGATGGATACAAAGAGACAGAGATGCTTTCTAAGCCTTCTGAAGGTTCACAGTGGTTTTAGATTCTAAATGAAGTCAGTGAGGTAGATGCTTGCTTTAGTAACAGCTGAGGGAAACCTGGTCTTTTTGTTAACAGTATACATTTCTACCAAGATTTCGTAGTGAAGATCTTGAGGTACTTGTGTTAAGTGATACTTAGAGAATCTGGTGACTTGTGGGTATTTTACCTGAGAGACACCAGGTGACTGGCAGGAAGAGAATCAGTTTCCAGGAGGAGGCCATCTCGTGGCCGGAGCTGCGTGTGTCCCCGGGGGCTCTCAGCATGGGCGTTTCTCCATTGAAGGATGTCCTGTGGAGACCAATAATCATTTTGTAAAATGGGGAAAATAGGCAAAAAAAAAAAGCAAACCAATGCATGAATCACCTCATAACAAATAAGTTGGGGGTTTTGTGCAAAGCCCAGGTAAAGATACGGTTAAATAATTGGTATTACAGTTCAGTTAACGAGTGGTACAAAAACCTAAGAAAGTAGAACTTTCTGTCACATTTACTTACATGACATACTTTTTACAGACAGTAAAAACGTCAAGTTCTAATGGGATTTTTTTCTCATAGGGAGTGTATAATAGCTGTATTTATTCTGTTAGACAAATGATGGGTGTAGGAAAATAGAACAGAAGCAGCAGATAGGCTCCTAGCTACCTCTGGAGTATGCACAATTAACGAGCAGTTACATGCCGTGTGGTGACTCATCCAAGTCTCCACCGGGAATTTTCCTTGTTTAATTTTTAATGTCAACTGCCTTTGTTTATAACTCATGTGATTATTTGCACTGTGTTAGCGACCACCCCCGTGGTGACTTATAGCTCTCAGCATCTTCTGCTAGCTGGAACCAAGGGAAATAAGGATTTTCATGAATATTTAATATTGTTGTCCAATACCATTTTTATAACAATAAACACAATAGTACATTAATATCTTGTTTCTTTTCTTTACCTGAAAGACAGAACTGATATGAAAGGAATGTAAACCCTCACACAACCCTTCCTGCAAGCATTTGACAGGTATGCAGTGAGCTTCCTTCCCTGTATAAGTAAGTACAGTTTTCAGGCGTTTGCTCTAACATCCTTGGCTAAAAGCAATCTAGCTGAGAAATAATTATATAGTGTGTTGATGATTTTTATAGAAAGTTTTTATAGAAATCTTTCTGTGTGGATTTATCTAAGTTATGTTTTAACAAACACCTTAAAGGAATAGAAAACAATTTTCCCTGATAGCTTACAATTTATTATTTCCACACCAAACAAAGATTTCACTTTCTAATTCTTACCTGCATCAAACTATAGAATTTATTTATATTGTAAAATCAAAGCCATGGTAGTATATTTTAATTTTGTGATTATCACTAATAGAGAAGACCATTAAGAGATAATAATGGATGAATAATTTATAAACACCTCCCATCCCAAAATAAACTTCCTACTACTTTTTACTGAGTAAATATCAGAAACAAGTAAATTTGAAGTATAAAGTGACCTACTTAATTTTTACACTTAAAGTGTTTTTATCATAGATGCTCTATTTTTTTAGCCAGTAAGAGAAAAAGGAGAAAAGTCAGCACACCGCAGCTGGGAATTTAGGAAATTTGGAAATTCTGGAACAATTACTAGGATTCAGTAGAAACGCACATGTGAAGTAGTACCTCTGTCACAGACAGAGCTCTTGGACGGCCTCTGAGAAGATAACCCTGCCCCTTCATCATCCTGTATAGAGCTCCCGGACAAGCTCTAGGAGGGACAGAGATCCGGGCCAGCTGAGGGACAGACAGAGCTCGGGGAGCAGCTCTGAGAAGGCCATACTATTTTGGCTGAACCTGAGTCAGTGAGCTTCTTATTCTGTCCCAAGAGATCCTTCCACTCACTGTGGCCAATGTCCCGACCCTCGGTGGTCCTTAGCTTTTCCCATCAAACAAGCACAACCATGCAGCCTTCCCAGCAGTGCACGGGACACCCGGGGAAAGCCACCTGCACGGGGATGTGTGCACAGCAGAGGGCCTGCACGAACAAGAAGAGCCACACAGCCCTTAGCATGTGCGTGCCCCTGACCCACGAGGGAGAGGCCTGACGGCAGTCGTGAGTCCTGGAAAGAGACCTTGTTATGATGGGGCTGTGTGAGGAGAGTGACAATGACATAGATGAGGGAACTCCTAAACAGGTTCCTGTGAGGACACTAACATGGAGTGAAGCAACAGAGAATGAGCAGAGCACAGAGGACACGCTGAGCACAGGCATCTCCGTAGACACCAGGCAGGCCAACATAAACCAGTCTACCTTCTGCACCAAATACATACGATCTGTTCCCAAATATAAGATGACACGTTGAATTTGATTGCACAAAGCATGAATTTTACATTAAAATCTCCTCTAAGGGGTGTGTGTGTGTGTGTGTGTGTGTGTGTGTGTGTGTGTGTGTAAGAGAGAGAGAGAGTTCATTTTCAAGCACTAATGTCTTTTAACATGTACATACACACACACACACACACACACACACACACACAGAGTTTTTAATACCCATTCTGTTTTTAAGGCCTCTACATCCTATTTTCCTTTCATTTTTTGCTCCTTACTCCTTCTGTTTCTTCAATAAAGTAAAAGGTAAATGTAATAATCTCTAACATTCTGAACATGCAAAACTTCTTATGTGTTTTCCTTGAAAATTTATCTGACTTTAGTTATCATGTCTAAGAAATAAAATAGAATAACTTACCACAAATCTATAAAGCTTCTGCTGGATGCTAGATTAATTGTAATCAGTGCATTAGTGCTACAGAAGGAAAGTAGTGCTACAGAAGGAAAGCAGGTTTGCGTTTAGAAGAGCCTCACAGAGACAGACTCTCACACATACTGCTGTGAACACAGAGACTGAAATGCAACAACCACGAACTTGAAACACATTACAATATCTGTTGATATCTGCTTGAGCTCTTAGCAACAAGCACTATTATCTAGCATATGACATCTCAAGATGAATGTATGAAAAGACACAAGATTTGTCTTTTTCTGTATATTATTGCATCTATTTGTAAAAAGCAGTATAGGAAATCATCATGGTATTAGTTTCAATACAAAATTATCAAGAATAAGTCACTGTGAAGATGATTGTAGACAATTATATAAAACATCACATTTAGACAAAACACATGTTTTATAAAATAAAGTGATAATGTTATTCCTTGATTACAAGTTAGTCTTTCTTGATGCAAGACACACAGTAGAAACTGTTAATGATGTATGTACAAGTCTGTGTGTACATATGAGAAAGAGCTAGAGACAGAGAGGAGAGAGAGAAACAGAAAGAGGAGAGAAAAAAAGAGGAAAGGGGAGAGAAACAGAGATCTTATTATCAACTCCTGATCTCTCCCTCTAATTCAGTATTAAGGCTTGGTCCCTTGAAGGCTCTTCTCATACAGCAGTTATAACAATAATCAGTCTGAAATCCAAAGTCCTTCTTTTAAACAAGGTGTCCACACTGTGACTTCATTCCTCCACCCTGCCACGCCCTGTCTTTTCCCTACCCCAGGGCCCGAGGCCCTCAGCCACGGCCCTCGCCCTCACCCCCAACGCTCATTTTCCCTGCCCTGTTCATTCTTCTCCTTAGTAATATATAGTGCCTCAGGTTATAGCATGTGTCTCTTGGCTTAATTATCTCTCCTCTACTGGAATGTCACATCCACAAAACCAAGGACTTTTATCTTGTTTATTTTCACAGACCAAACATCAAGAAGAATAACTGGCAATTTAGCACATATTCAATTAATGCATTTTCGATAAAACTTATTGAATGAACTAGCTTCTAGAAGGCAAATCACCTGTCATGAGAATACTATAGAAAAAAATCATTGTCTCTTACATTTCCGTAATACTAAGAATGTGTTCAGCATTTTTTACTGTGCAGCGCCCAGCAAATCTCATTGTAAAAGATGGCTTACCCAAGGCTAAGGAATGTACAAAGGCCGACCTGGGTTAGGGACGATGCCACACAGACGCCCCTCCTCTGCACCCTCTGGAAGCATCTAGAAGCCCACTAGGGTGTCTATCCTGCTTCTGAGTCCAGCCTGTAAGCCTGCTCACACAGCTGAGCTTTTTTTAAAGTCTGAGTGCTGCCAGATGCAAAAGAATCCTTCTTCTATCCATGTATGATTCTAGACCTAGTAAAAATTTAAACAAGAGACATGTAAGTTCTTCCACCTGAATAAACAATATTTGTACTGAGGAACGCAATAAATGATATTCATCAGACAAAAGACAAGGAAGTAATGGCAAAGATAATGTCTGAAATGCATAAAGGAAAATGACAGCAACTAACTACTGCAGGCCAGAGACTGCTTCAGTTCAGGAACACATCTGACACAAACAGCCCTGTGAGTTCCACCACATCTCTCCATTCTACACACAGTCAAGGGTGTCACAGGGGTTCAGGAAACTCCCAGCCCACAGAAAATGAGGAAGTCTTTGTATCCGTAAAGTCTACTCCTAAAGCCCTAACTTTAATACCTAAAATAATAATAAACCAAAAAATGTAGCAGTCATCTGTATGAAGGAAAGAATAATTGTGTCTGATAGGGTAAAAATCAAGACAAACGTGTAGTACAAATGCATAAATACTAGTATACAAATCAGGGGAAAAGTGACTGAAGTTAAATATTTCAGAAGATCATGTGTTAAAAGGAAAGTAAAGTGATTACTTTAGATTTTTGTAAAATGTCTATGTTAAATTTTCTAAAGTTGCTGAAAAATAGAAATCTGTCAGAAAACAAATTTATATTCATCTCAAATCCTCACCACCTCCCACTGATTTAGAGTGAAGATACTGAAATGCTATATTTAAAACTTCTACATACGACTTCACACATATGATAATTTTCTGACTGCTTCGGAAGACAGAATTGTCTCCTCTAGTCTGGCATGCGAGGCTCTGCGTCTGCCTCTGTCTTCTAGTATTCCATCTATAGCATCCTGCAGCCCATCTCACTGAAACAATTTTGATTCACAGCCTAATTCATGATCTACACCTACCAGGAATCTTCTTCTGAAATAGTCATCCAAAATGTTTATGTGATATTCACATAAACTTTTCTAAAATTGTCAGATAATCCCTATTGTTACATACGTATGTGTGCCACCTAATACACACAGAATTACATACACATGGTGTGCCATCTAACAGGATTATGTATGTATTGTGCCATCTCGTGAGATATTTATGTGTGCCCTGTAACACAC